TGGGTATAGATTAGCTTTGAAGCATAACCCTAAAGCAAGGTCCGTAACAAAAAAGAAATTTGAAGGACACCACAAAAATAAAAAATACCATACAAAATAAAAATAATACCTTTACGAGGCCGAAGAGTTTTGACACACAATCGTCCCTTTCCTGCTTAAGGGTCTTCCTACTGTAAATCTGCTTTAAATTTTACACTTTCAAAAAATTTAAAGTTTAATAATAGTATAAGGCGTGCATCCTTACTTTGCGACAGCGTTCTGAGCGACTGGGAAAGCATAGGTCTCGATCCAGCTTTTTAAGTGTCCGCCAGGATTTCAGCGTCCAACAGCGTTTTGTGCGACTAGGAAGTATAGACACCAATTATCGCTGAAAGCGCTGGCGGGCACTTTAACACATTGAACGCCGCGGCGTTTTTGCGGCGACTCCCGTTTTCACTTCCTGCGTCTCCGCGCGCGTGAATTGCGTGCAATACACAAACGCGCGAAACGGGAGTCTTTGTGCCGCATGCCCCTTTACACGCTCATTCTGGTTACTTTTGCGCTCATTTCTACATTGTTCAATATGAATGATGACTTCTTTTAGCTGCATAGATGGATCTGGACAACGTAGAAGATCTAAACGTCAGTTTTGACGACATAAGTATTGTTATCATAATGAATTAAACACTATCAAATGTATTGTAAATTAACACTAATTATCACTAGAAGTCTTACTACCATTGTAGCGATGCGGAGCTATCATAAGAAGTGCAATTACCGCGCCACTGACTGTTATTTTGTAATATTAATGAATTACCAATGAGCAGCTTATTTCACGCCATCAAGAACTAAGCATAAGCAAAGCTCACTGAACATATACTCGGTGAGAATGGTTCAAGTCGCACTCTTATCCACGAAAAAACCGACCCACAAAACGTGAATTGTGGGCAATACACAAACGCGAGAAACGGGAGTATGCGCGTGTATTGCCGACAATTCACGCGGCGTTCAATGTGTTAAACACTGGTGAGAGTTCAGAAGGCTGGATCGAGCCTTCCAAGCATCCGTCATCGTTAGCGACTAGGAAGGTATATAGTAGTAGTATATAGTATATAATACCGATGTAGCGTACGCCAGCGTTCACCAGCGACCACCAGCGTCGAGAAGAAGATGATACGGAGACGTAGGAGGGTAGCAGACACGTGTGTTAAGCGTCGTGAAATAGTGGTGTGTGCAATCGCACCTTACACACAATACCGCACTCCTGGACGCTGGTGTGCGCTGCCACAAAGCATGAAAACAACCAGAGCTATACGTTCCTAGTCGCTCAGAATGCTGCCGTACGCTCAAAACCCTGACGCAAACTATGAACGCACTCTAGGAATCCTCACAAAAAGGTACCCTCTGACAGGAATACAAACCTTCTGATTTTCTCCCACAACAACTTGCACTCCATAGCACGATCGTGGTTAGGATTTTTCTTGGACTAAAAAATGTTCACTCCATCATATATGTCGAAATACAACACGATTTTGGACCCACCTTGAGTTCTCTCAAAAACGCTTTTCTTTGCTTCCTGTCCATAGTTAACAACTGTTCCTTCACTTTTCTAGTCACCTTAAATGGATATTTCATAACACAAGGACAGAAGCTTGAACCACCTGCTAGACCTGTATCTTGATCTTCTTCTTAGGTTTTTCCAGTTTCTCTACAGCGGCTTCTCCCACATTTTCTTTCTCCGCACCGGAACCGACAATGGTATTAGCTTTCGGGGTGTCAACATTCTCTTTCATTTGCATCTGAACCACGCAATGCGTTGGTTAGCTACTAGGAAAAAAGGGATTTGGAACTTCACCTTCTTCTTTTTCTGCGCCGCTTTTTTCTGTTTAACTCGCAGTATACCCTTTCCTGGAGACGCAGACGACGGTTTGATTTCAAGATCGTCCACGTTTTTGTCAAATACCTTGACGCTTTCCATATTTCCACTGAACGATACCTTAACGAATAATTCATAAATAAATTCATTCCATTTACTGTACAGAAATTAGCAAGAAATACCCTTTTATCCTTCAGCTTTTTCGGAGGCGGGCTTGGTGATGACGGATCAATATTAATCGTTTCGTCAACGTCTTCTTCTGCCAGCCGTAACTTGCTCATTTCACTTTTCACACTTTCTTTTAATTCGTTCTTGAACTTCATCTTTTCTTCGAGCTGTAAAACGCAAAGCTGGTTCACAGGAGAACTGTTTACAGGAAGAACTAACAGT